TTTGTCCTGAATTTCATCATTAAAATAATATAAAATAACAAAAAAAAATTATCAAAAAGAAAATCATCACGCACCTAGAGGCCGGAAATAAAAATTAAGGTTAAAATATAGATGTGAAGCTGAAGGGAGGAGAGAGAGGCAGCGTCCCTGCTGGGTTCTGGGCTCTCAGTCTTAAGCCCAGGACACCGAACGACAGAGAAAGAAGGAATAAAGAATCAAAGATATATAAGATTGAATTGTTGAGCATTCAAAACCCCGGAATTTAACAGTTGTACCTGTATGGACAGGGGAAAACAAAATGTTGAGGAAGCTTCCAATATTTTTACGAAACCCAAAGAGCTGGGTTCTGTTCTGTTCTGTGGATGTAACATCTTTCTTTCTCTCTCTCTCTCATTTCTTGTGACAGTGCTGCTGGAGCCTGGGGGCCTGCTGCCATTGTTCTATTCTATTTGATCACATCCCATATATTTACGTGAACAAGAGTATTCAGTGCGACGTAGACCTTTCTGTGGACAAGGAGGAGACAGTGCAACGTACCAATGTTTCACACTGGAAACTTGTGTGATGAGACAACACATCTCTCTCTCTCATTTTATTCATTCATGGAAGCTCCTTGGAGCTTTAGGCCTTGGAAAATCACAAACAACTGTAATGCTTCAAGCTTTTCCCAAATGAAAGGTGGACGTTGAACGGATGATGATGATCAATTGATGATGATGACGATATCAGTACCACAAGCACCACTTCAACAATAGACAACGAAAGCTTATTCGGTTTTCAAGTACGAGAGAGTTGGATTCACTGAATGGGGTTTCTCTCCCTCTCTCTCGTTAGCTCAAAATGAGTTTGGAAAGATGACTAACAATTTATGCTTGGAAAAGGGATGATATATCTAGGCTAGGGTATAGCACATTTGGCAGGAATATGTTGAAGTCTGTGGTCTTTCAAATTTACCACGTGTTGGATGTTCAGAAGATCAGAACTCATCATGTGATGGATCCTATCTAAGAGGAGATCAATGCAAAAAACCAAAAAGCCGATATAGTGTGGGAATAGAATTTTTTAACTATACTGATTGGTTATATAATGCTAGCAGCTAGAAGGAAACAAGAGGGCAACCCGTGTTTGAATTTTTAAAAAGGTTGTTGACTTCACCTGGAACAGGAGTATCTTAAATAAAAATAAAGAAAAAAGATCAGAGATCGCCCGAAATTCTGACACCTGATAAAAAAAAAAAAAGAAATCATCACATATATACCAAGGCTTCCAAATGGATGAGATTTCTAAATTTAACATCTTGGTTGTTGTTGTTATTGTAGTAATTTTACATGAGGTGAAAGGAAAACATAAACTCCCTAATATAAGATATGATAATGGTTCTAAAATTTTCAAATTTGGTGGTCATTGAATGAGGGTTGTTACCAAATAAAAACCAATCGATGACTTCACCTATTAGGTTAAATGGTTTCTTCACATGGAATCAGAGCCTATTTGACCAAAAGTCTAATGTTCAGTCTTCGTTGCCCCTATCATAAATAATTAAAGGGTAAAATAAAAAAATAAAAAAAAAATCTTTTCTTAAATTTTTAGCAATCATAAAAACCTCTCCTATAGTTTYATTTTAACAAATACATCATCTCAACTTTTGAAAAATTCAATAAAAACATCACTTATGACATAACTTACTCAGACAGAAAAACGTATAAATTTACAAAATTACCCCTAACCAATGAAAGAGAAAATTTGTCCACTCGAGGAACATCGACAAACAATAATAGGTCCTGCACAGGCTCTCCATAGTTCCGCATGGAGATTGCCTCCCTCCCAAGCCTATCCAGTACATCTCTTTTTTAAGTTTTCGTACAACTCTTTGACAATTGAAGATGAAAAAAGGGCTTCTGCTATGGAGCCCTTTCGCTCCGTGGTGTTCTTTCCCCTCCCTCCGTTCGCATTCAGAGAATAAAATGTTGTGCTATGGTATTTGCAAATCTTGAGTCCAGTAATGGTGGACAGTTGAGGAATGAGCAGAGATAGAGCAAATCCGTCGATTGGAGAGGAGATCAAGGAGGGCTATTGAAGAAGAAGCCCGAGAAGACGTACGCTTCTTGGACTGAAGAGCTCACAACCTCGACAACCTCGCTCTCTTGGGTCCTCAATGGTGGGTTGTTCGGGTTTCCAGGGTTACTGGTTAGGAGACTATGGAAAGACTAGCTCACTCCCTCGCCAGAAATTTTCTAGACATTGATTTCAAGGTATATGTTCCTTCAGTCAAGGCGAAAAGGAAGTTAAAAGAATGGCTCTTACTCGGTCAGGCCAAATCCCCTGGTTGTGTCTTCTTGACAATGTGTACTAAACAAGGAGATACATGATTTCATCAGAAAATGTGATGGAGTCGGTGGCTTTTTTGGATAAAAAACTCTAACTATTATCAACAAACAACACCATTTTACCAGAAAGCTGCCTAATTTCATCACAGAACTAAGAAAACAGTCACTTCACCGCACTTCTGAAGCTATCTCCACTACTCAACCAATCAATCAAAGCTAAGCCAAAAGGTTGTTTTACCATACCACAATCTACCCCATCAATATTCAAAAGATCAAGTAAGAAAATTTTACACCAAAGATGTTGGATTTTAATTGATCAATTACATGAAAAACACATCTGTATATATATTTTGGAAAATAGTTTTTTTCTCTTAATAAAACCAGTTTTCAACTTGTCTCACATCAAAAAATTACTAAATTTGTTTTGAGTTTTTAAATATGAGCTTATTTATACTACTTAGAAATATAAGAGGAGATTAAGGAGGTTTCCTACTGTGCAACATGCGTGTACATGTGTGCGGTGCAATAAGGCACTTTAGAGGTGCACTTTGCTCGCAACCGCATGATCTGCATAAGGCAACTTTGACTTCTAGTGTGAAGATGATTGTTGAAAAATCAACTGTCAAGATTTGATCGGTGTGATCAAGGGGCACTATTCAACTTTGCTGGTTGTAGATTCTCACCCAAGGCAAGGCTCTAACATTGTAAAGATAGTGTCTTCAGACACGCCACACGCCTCAAAACTTCTCTTCCAAGTTTAAGTGATCTCAGTTCACAACAAAAGAATCACAAACTCTTGGTTGTGAAATTTTCTCTTCCTTTTTTATTTTCCTCCCTGTGTGACATACATAAGTGAAGGTGGATCTGGGAATTTCATTAAAATAGGGTTATTTCAATAATTTTGTATGTAAAATAATTTACAAAAGAATAGAATGTGTATTTGGAAAAAAAAATCTAACGCATCAATTTAACGTTTTCCATTTGGGTCAGTGACGAAAGGGAGGTTTTTGTCAAGGTTTTCAAAAGTTTAGGGGAAATATTTGTTAAAATAAAACTATAGGAGAGGTTTTTATGATTGTTAGAAACTTTAGGAGAGGTTTTTATATTTTACCCTTAATTAAATTGAGCACAAGGTATGGGTAAATATTGTCACATGCTTCAAGCATGATAGGCTTTTGTTTGAGGGGATGTGTTAGAGATTAAAAAGCTCCTCACTTTAGACCTCACTTAATAGCTTAAGCTTGTAGGTTGAACAGTTCCTTCATAGGGATCTTTGAGTGATCAAGGATGAAGATCTAGGATGAGCAAGTGTTATCCACCAAAGAATGAGCAAGATATTAGGAAAAAAACTAACTCTTGCTGTTATGGTACAGTCAAGAGAAAAATAACTCAAACTTTATTGCATCAAATTAGCTTGTTCCAAAGAGCAATTACAATAACTATTTATAAACTCAACATAGGATCTTGAAAGTCTGTTTACATACTGCAAAATTGGACTAGGAAACTAATCCAGAACTATGACAACCCGAAAGATAACAACACATGGAGACACTTAAAATAAAATAAGGACTCTTAACTCCTAGAACAACTTTTGAATCACAATTTTACCATAAAATAATTTCAAAAGTTATCATGAGACATAGATAGTAATTTCTAAATACCAGTATATTTCAAAAACTTTAAATCCTATTCTCAAGACACCTACAAATACAAAATAAATTTAGAAAACTCATAAATTATGAGACATTCGTATCACCAGAAAATTATGAAATTGATGCATAAATTGGAAAACAGATTCGTTTCTCCATGGATGCTTTCCTTGCTTCTGTTTCTGTATCACCCCTTCCTCCAAAAGAAATGAATATACTTTTTGTTATGACTCAATTATTAGGATGTTCGAGATATACATTGCTTTAATCAAGAGCAAATTGTGGCAGGCCAGCCTCTATAACAAAAAAAATGAAACTAAATGTCAGTCCTATAAGTTCTTCTATAAGAAATAAACAAGCGTTCCACTTGTAAGACAAGAAGACGACCAAGATTACAATATATTATTCCAGAATCAAAAAGAAACATAATACCAGAGTGTATTAATCTTTCCAAATATACCAAACACAATGAATGGAACCTATTAATTACATGGAATGAATCAATTCCTCTAATGTTAAAGGGAAGATCATGAATATATAAAGATCCACAGCTTCTCCATATTACTTTTATTTTTTCCCCAACGTCCTGATAGTGTAATCATACATTCAAGTCCTGGGCCAACGAAGCAAGAACTGCGAAATTGATTCTGCATGAGACTGCATAAGGAGCCTACATTCCCTAATTATATTACTCCTGTAGGATCTTATCAAGCAAGAATTCATGGGCCGGGCTTTGTACTTATGTTAAGGGTTATAGTTTAGGTCCGGGCCCGGCTCGACCTGGGGTTCCGGCCTGAAACATAAGCCCTAGCTCAGGTCTACATGGACCTAATTCTGGGCCAATGTCACTCATACATAAAATATTACATATCTATAATATTTTATATTAAATAACATAACATATATATTAACTTATTTTATACATTATATAATATAAAATATTACATATAATATAAATTATACATGTCATGTTATAATATTTATATATAACATATATAATATAATATAAAATAACCTGTATACATATACATACGGCCCGAGCTGGACTTGAGGTATTAAGCCCAAACCCAACCCTAAAATTTGTGGGCCTAATATGGACCCAGGCCTGAACCGGGGCTGAACACAAAACTGAGGCCCAAGTCCAAAATTTCCGGGCCAGGGTGAAATGATCACCCCTAGACTGTACTCTCCCCACCAAGCATAAAAAGAAGACCTGAGTACCTGACTGAGAAGATTCTGCTTAGGTCTTCATCACACATGTGCACCCTTTTGTCAGCATTGTCATGGAGACCCCTGCAATCTGGAGACTCTCCGGTCGGTCTCCCAGTTTATATATATGTCGCCTAGACCTTGGAGATAACGCCACTTCAATTGCTATCTATCCAATAAAATCCTCCTTTGGAAAAGGCCTTTACAATAACATAGAAAGCCCCTTTAAAAAGGGCCTTAAAATACAAGCAAGGGGAGACGGAGAGCCCGATTTTAGAGTCCTACTAAGGTACTTTCTTCCTAAATTCCACCTGGTCCCCCATCATAAGGAAGTCAATTAGTTTGTGACATGAAGATAATGTCAAATGTCAAGTCCAGCACTGTATTTGTACCCATTTTTTTTTTTCACTCAAGATTTGAATCCAGACTTTCTTCTGATTTATTTGTGCTAATAAGTAATTACCTTTCTGGCTTTCTACTACTTCAGTGCTTTCTCTTATAACTATTTTTTCCTTTTTCTTTTTCAATGCCTTACAGCTAGCATCCTTTCGCCATGCCTGATTCAGATAGTCCTAAATCTTGATATGGACCAAGTATGAATCATATACAACAAAACTCAAACCATGGCAATCGTATAATGTATGACTGGGGCCTAATTGAATATATTTTTATTGGATGTTACTCTTCCTAGGCAAGCATGTTTTTGTGGGCTTGACAGCAATGAATGATAAACACCAGATTATGTTATTCAGATAGCTCCTTCTACCTGCTTTTGTTTAGTGTTAACAAGAGAACATGGGTGACCACATCTTCCTAACCCTTCACAACTGTGAACTTGAAGCTACATGCCGATCACTTGATTTCTTCAAGGACTGCTTCCTTTCCCCCTTGTTTCATTCATGCTTGCTGGGATGCTAAAACAAAATTAAGAAGAACCCTTTGAATGTCTTTCTGGTGAGACCAGATTTTCTAGACCACTTTTCTGAGCAGAGATAAGAAACCATGTGATTCTTGCACTGCAATTTGCCTGCCGTTAAGCTGGACTCTAGGCTATGATCATAACATCCTTACACCATCAATGAATCTAATCCATTTCTCATTCTGTAAAGGTGTGTTACAAAGTACAAACTCTGATTGTATAATTAGAGAGATAGACCTCTTCGACAAACAAGAGAGCAACCTAACTCATCTACCACAAGGCCGTAACTCACAAATAGAGCAAGACCCAAAAATTTTACAAAATGGTGGTAGCAAACACAGCCATGGTAAAACAAAGAAATCTCATTCTGTTAAGTATCGAAGGAATGGTGGATCAATCGAGCAAGATAAATATATTGTAGGTAACCGTATTGCAATTCTCCCATCTAATATTAATGCAGTTTGTTTTATGTGATATTACTTAGAGGTATTGGGCTTGTATTCTTTCCCTATTCTCTTCCCACCACATTTTTGCGTGCACCTCCCCAAACCTTTCACGGCTGCATATCACATTTAGAATTATTAATCAGTAACAAATCAAAGGTCAAGGTTAAAGGAATCATATTGAACAACGCAGGATGAAGATTCTATACCTGAACCTGACGCGCCGGAGCTCCCTGGTGCCGTCTGGCAATTGTCTGATGGTAATGTAGACTCCAGGCTCATCTTGCTCGACCCACTCTATCTCCTGATCACTGGCATTGCTAATAGAAACAGAGGCTTCGTCTCTGGATGAGGTTGTAGTCCGTGAAGCATCCACCGAAGAAGTTTCACCCCTTAAGCCTGAGACGTAGGTACTTGGCCCAGCGCCATAGTGTTGGCCACTGTGGTCTAGTGATTCCGAAGGGAAGTACCCTTTGTTGCCAGATGGCCTATAAAAGTTCCTTGGTGTCCTATCTTTGCTTAATGGAGTGATGGGGCTTTCCCTTGCGGATCCCATTCTTGAGTAAGACGAATCTCTCTGCTGTTAAAAAGTAAACACGGCACAGTGAACATTCAATGAGCTTATCATGCTAAGCCAATAAATCAATCCAATATTATCCAATGTTTTCTTTTTTCAAATTTATGATCTTTGACCAAAACTAGGCAAGAGCATGTAATAGAATAGACCATTACCCTTGACAAGTGGGTAGTGTCAAGTGTCAACTAGAAAAAAAAAAAAAAGAGTGCAATCTAACAGACAACTGGATAAGAGACAACCAAGCTGTGCATTTACTAGTCTTGGTATGTAAATAAAGCCCAAAAGCTCGATACATGGACTTCTGTGTGGCGCTTTACCCCAAATGGACGCAAGTTGGAGAAAATCAGAGGTGCTTGTGCACTGCAATTACAGTTCTAGACAAATAAGGACCCATCTCTTGATTGCATGGTTCAAGAGAAAAGACCCCATACGTATTGTCCCATCCCCATTGTAAAGGGAAAAAGACCCTGCTTCACATGTACACTACATGCACAGCTAGGCATCTTTTATAGGCTTTTCATTTCATGGTGGAGCAGAATCCCAAGATTTTGTCAACCGTAGGGTGTAGATTCAATTTCCCCTCTGCTATTCTTTTACACCCACTGAAACTTATTTTCACTATATTCTTGGTCCCAGCACCATCCTAAGATATCGGGTTTGTTTGTGAAGTAACCTATTCAATTGAAATTCATAGTCAAAAAAGTTAAAAGATATGATGGCATACCTCATCCTCAGACCTAGGAGGAGTAGGAAGAGCTTGCCGATTGAATCTCTGAACATTGTAGAGCTCCATGATCCGGTCATAGTTCTCTCCCCACCATCTCTGAGCTTGCCATTTATTGAACATCTCTCGGCTGCAGAATACAACCAGTTAACTCTAAAAACCTTTGGCCGGGTTTCCTAATTAAAACCAGTCTTGTTGACTAACATCTACACAAACTCAAGTTTTTGGTATGGAAAATGATCCTGAAACGCATAATAAATCGTCACCCAGGCTCAGCTTGGCCTCATTTAAAGGATGTTGACTAATCAAATGCTAAGGACCCATTACTCCATGGACTTGTACCAACGCTGCCCCTCGTGGGTCGTGACGTAACAGATCAAGCTACCCCAGACTCTTGACAAGTTCCTTTCAAATAAAACAAATTGCCCCAGGATTTTTCTTTTTTTTTTTTTTGATAATTGTCCCAGGTTCTGTTCATAGAGGAGCTACTTGGAACAGACAGTTACTTTTTAGACAGGGACTGGGTTATAGCATTTATCGGTGGAGGCTCCCGCTAAAATGAAATTGAATGAAGTCCATATCCAACCCTCCGGAAGGTTAGTAAGTGAAGTCTGCGCACTGCGCTGCGGGCCGGGATCTACTGTTACAAATATCGTGCTAACAAACGCTTCTAACAACAGAATCCAACCGCACGTCGAGAATACATCCCCCGGATTGACAAGGAAGATGTTCTGGATGTGCGAACGGATAGCAGTGTAAGAAGCGTGTTAGCACGCTCACGCTTTTCCTGGCAGAAAATCCCGACTCCTGGGCTGCGACGGTCTGGTCAGAGGCATGCAGTATGAGGAGGACAGAGGATTGTTATTTACGTCTAGTAACAATAAGCCTTGTACCTGAACCGGATCCTCTTTAGATCATTGCCACCCTGGGGGAGAGAAACAAAGGTGATGTGGACTCCGGGTTCCACTTGGGCCATCCATTCCTTGGGCTCATCCTCATCAACAAGTACCACGTCACAAGACCGTGCTGAAACCGACTCTAGTCCTCCAGAGGTCCGATCAACGGTTGACATCATTCCTTTGAACCTGGAGTCTGATTGCATGGCAAGGTTCTCCCTATTATTACTGTTGGTAAAATCCCATGCGGGCGTCGAACTCGAGCTCCCAGTCCGCAGATACGGGTACTGAACCCCTTCCGAGGCCGTATCGAAGTCCGGGTAAGGCCGCTGGCCCTTCCTGTAGCTGGTGGAGCCCGTGCAGGGCTTGCACTGACGATAGGCGCCGGAAAATTTTAACGCCATGTCCTTAATCTGCAAAACAGTATTGAAGGTGTGACTACGTCGTACACGGTACATCTACATGTTTAAACCAAAGGCACAGGATCATTCCATCAAATCTGACCCCCACTATTTTTAGGTGGGACCCAGAAACCTTAGGGAGTCGAGATTGAGAACTTGGCTGGTGGGACCCACTAACAGCAGTGATGCTGATGGATTATAAGCACTAAAGAAACATGGTAAAAAGACTGTCTTATAAATGAACTACATTGTGTCGACAAGAATTCTCGAGTGGGTCCTACCAAAAATACCCCCACTGTCCTCAACCCAACATGCGTCTTGTCTTTTCTCAAGATACCACACCACCAGATCGTCCTATACTGATACTGAATATATACTATTTTTAATACGTCTTATTTACAAGAACACCCCAATCCCCAAAGTCCTCGAATTTGTTTTAATTTACGAAAAAAAAACACCACCAGTCCACCATCACTCATTCCCTGTCTGCTGTAAGTGCCCTGTAAATCATAGTGCAGGCATTAAGTACTGCTGTATAAATGTAAATGAATGTGGGACACGTGGCATTGCCGTGCCAGAGAGGGGCATAAGGCCTCCATGCACAACATGGATTTGGAGCACCAACCGAGGCCAGCCAGACCTATTCAAATTGAGTTTTCCTATTTCCCTGTTTGGGAAGAGACCGAGCCCTGTATGCTTGATTATTTTTAACAATAAAGACTAAAGAGAGCTCTCCCTATCCAAAATCCTTAACCCATTTCTGAAAAGTGGTGAAGACTTTAAAGTTTCTTCAAGGGATTACGCAAAACCAGCTAGGAATCAATTCCCATGCCATGAAATTGGAATAGATGCAATAATTACTAATCTGGTTCGAGGGCATTTTGGTAAAAGAAAACACTAGATGAATGTAAGGTGGTGGGGCCGCATCCAATTGCATCGATCGTTCACTGACTCGGGGTAACATGACTTACTGGTCAAAGAACTAATCAGTGTCAACCAAACAAAACAATGGTTTTGAACTTTTGATTTCTCTGTAAATGGGAGTGGAAAAATGGAAATGCAAGGATTTTGCTGGGATCTGAAACAAATTTAAAATGGGCAGTGGGCACTTTTGCTTTGCCTCTCTCTCTCTCTCTCTCTCAACAAGTGTGTAAAAAAATAAGGAAAAGCACTCAATACACACTAAATAAATACTCGCTTTGTAAAGCTTGAAGATGGTCCCCAGGCTCTTTCGTCTGAGAGTTGTTTTGTTGTTACGAGAAGTAAAGACTCTGATAAAGCAGAGGAGGTAGAGTAATGGAGTGAAAGAGAAAGAGTAGAGGGATGGGAATGGGATTAGAGAATCGAACCTGCGCCGTCAGACTTTTGACGGCTTCTTTCGTACTTGGAGTGCCACGCGCGCTTTCTTCCCCATCGTCCAGTTGCTTCGAGCACGCTATACATGTTAACATCTCTCTCCCACTCGATCTTCCTCTTTTTGTTCCCTCTTGGACTTAGGTTTTCTCTTTCCCTCTCACCTGGCACGGAAATAACCAAACAAAATTACTACTTTGTCCATCACCAATTAATCTTATTCCTCAAGTGGCTTCTATAGCTTTTCCGTAGGTCCTCTTCAAAGTTCAAACTTGGAAGCTTTGGGCATTTGGCATAAAAAATGATCCTAATGTTTAATACCTTGAACTTCCATAGACATTTCCTAGTGGAAGTGTTGATGTAATTAGGAAATTTAATGGGGGTAGTGTTGGTAAATGAGTCGAAAAGTCAGAAAAATAAAGGAGACGGAGAAGCTTTGGAAGAAGAGGAAGAAAGAATTGATAATAAAATATTCAGACAATAATTGAAGCAATCAAAAATTAGGAATTCTGATTCAGCGAAGACATCAGCCTCGAGAGCATATCAATGCGCCTGAATGCGCAGCGGCACAATAAAGAATTAGATTTTGTTAGGCCAAAGCAGGAATTAATTGAGAAAAATAATTAATATTTAAAATTTTTTATCCTAGATTTCGATTTACAAGAAACTAAAAAGTGAGTGAACATCAGAGTCTCTCTCAAATCGATGAGTTGTATAGCCATGGGGTTTTTGAAATCATTTAACAAGCTTTGGAAAAAGAGAGGAAAGATCATTAGTGTTTTGATTTGATTCTTCGCTTGTTACAAAAGACTATTTACCTTCGACGGTCGAGCTTTTTCCTTCTCCTTTGAAACGGAGAGCTTCGTTTTGGAGCTCAGTCGTCTCGAACAGCTCCTTGGTCTTCTTTTCTTCTCAGCTTTTCTTTTCYTTGGACGAGGATTGGATCTACAGGCATTGGTTTGACGAATTTGCCCGCAGAAAGGAACGGACACAGACGTAACCTCTTTTAGTTGGCACTTCACAGTCTCTCTTCGTCTTCTTCTTCACATTTCACGGTCTCTGTTTTGGTTATTCTACACTATCAAACATAATGGAGAAGCAAAGCGTTATAGCAGAAACAGAAAAAGAAACCCTATAGACCAACTGAAAACGACGTGACAAAACCTATGAATCTACTCATACGAAGTAGGCATCGGTTTGGCTGAACGATCATAAAAAAGGCAAAACTTTCGATTTCCAGTAGCTTTCGGCCTTCGATCTTCCACTGTTTTAAAAAGTAAAAACTCCTTTGCAAGCCATTTTTAACAAAGAAAGTTCAATACAATCAACAAAACCGGTTCGAAACATTTTAGAAGCGACATTAATCGCGACCAAAAAACAAAAGAATAATCTATCAGGTATCACAGGAACTAAACACTACAGACGACGAATCAAGCTCAGATAAATGCCTTAAGCAAAAGCTCTTACCTTCGTCTATTTTCGGCCACGAATAGCCTCCAAACAACTTAAAATTACTAAGCGTTATTCCATTTCGCCTCTGAAAATGCAGCTCCGGCTCTGTTCTACTTTCAGCAGTTTGAGAAGCAGTGCAAAACAGGAAAAACGGTCTTTAAGTCAAGGAAAAGAACACAATCGCGTCACTGCAGCGACGATAAATCGATTTACATTTSAAATCGCTGCAAAACATAGAAGAAAAACGGTCGAATAGCCAGAGAAAAAACACCGGCGAGATTCCGGCGATTTCACCGCAAAATTTCGGCGGGTATTTGTGGATCGTTTAGAAAGTAGGAAGACGGAGAAGCTTTGCTGTCTCAGCTCCAGATTTTACGTTCCGAAGAGAAATGGGGATTGAAACACATTTTAACTTCACACCGACTCTCTTATTTATAGTGCCAGAAATATAACGTCATCTTGCCGTTAATTAACGGAACGGATCTCCCCAACCATTAACCTGATATCACCAGATTCACCATGCACGCACACAGGCCACACAGCCACAGCGTTAAGACAAAACTAGCTGCCGATGCCGAGTGCCTAGTTCCGAGCAGTCCTACCCACCGTAAGCCGTAAGTGTACGAGTCCACATTCCCTTTATCATCATTTAGTTGGGCCCCACCTGCTTTGCCTGGGACCAACATGATCGAATCGCATCCGTCCATCTGGTGTTGCTTGTCAGAAGGACCCATGTTAAGATCTTAGGTGGGGACCTAGAGGTTTTTCCGAGGTACATTCCTAGTCCTAGAGTAGGGAATGGGTTTATAGACGCTAATGACGATCTGAGACTGAGTGTGGCAAATTTGTGAATAAAGGGTGAAATATTAACGCCTTTTCCGAATTCCGGTGAGAATATTTGAAGATTTTCAATCCCGTCAAAGTATCTAAAGATTCTATAAAAGGCCTCGTTTCTTACGTGGATTTGTCTTACCAAGCACGGTCAGAGCATTAATCGGGTCAGATTAGTACGGTAAGGGGACATGGTCTACTGGTCACTGACCATTGCCAGTCACCCTACGGCTCTCCATGCAAGCAATTTTATGGCAGATTACCGGATGGAGCCAGTGACAGAGAGGGAGGGGAGGGGGGGCTGAGACGGTGAGTTGCTTTGGCAATGGGGAAGAGCTTTAACTTTAGAGACTGTTGTCGCCCCATAGCTTTATTCCTGGGCTGTGTTAAAGCAAAGCATGGAAGGGCGAGACAATTCATCACTCATCAGTGTTTTGAAAAGATAAATCAAATCTTTCTCTCTCTAGTCTCTCCAGTCTTCCTCTCTCTCTCTCTATATATATCTCTTTCTCTAAGCTATCATCAACGGCTATGCCACGTGGCAAGATCTTAGGAGCCAAGCTTTCTCTAAAGAGGTTCTCCCAGATCTTCTTAGCCAAGAAAGGCATAGTCAAGGTCCAATTGTCCAAAGTAATTTCCATGGTTTGTTTCTTTATTTTGCCAAAATGAAAAATTCAAAATCCTCCTTTTTATCAAACTTTCCCATTTTTAACACCTCTTTACCAGCCCCTCAACTATGACCAAGAACTTAATGATCTGATAGTTTTTTCATTTATTCTTTTCATCAGATTTAAGCCGTTGGATAGGAAACCCTGACCTTTTAACACCATCAAACTAATGGATCTGTTTTATTCTACACATTTATAATGAATAAGGGGAGATTGATAATGGCTGAAGATGCTGAACTGAATGACTCATTGCTTTGCGTTTTTAATGGCTGAATAGCATATTTGGATTGATTATGTGTTTGGTTTCACGAGTGTTTATTGATGGGGTGTTTATCAGATAAACATTTTTTTTGAAAAACACTATTTTAAACGTGTATTGCTTTCGTTGTTTGGTTGAATGTTTTATGGTGGTTCAAGTACCACCCCATAAAGTTACTTTCCACCTCAGCTTAAAGTGCCACCACATAAGTATTTCGTTTCAATAAATTGCCAGGCATTGGGGGTAGGGGTGTCAATGGATCGGTTTTGGGTTGGACTCCATCCAAATCAAAATCCATTTGAATGGATTGGATGTACCAATAAGACATATTGAATTTGGACGGACTGGATGGACCAATATGACATATTGGATTGGACCTGGTCCGCCCATAATGAACTTATATTGGATTGAGCCAATATCTGGTTCATCGATAGAAGATAATAACATAGGTGTCGATGGACCAAGTTTGAGTTGAAACAAATCTAAATTAACAGAAATTTGAACAGATTGGACAGTCTCTAGACCAGTCCAAAATGGTCCAAAATATTCATTGGACTGGATTGGACCAGGTCCATTTATAATAGACTCACATTGGACTGGACCGGATTGAACCAARTCCAGTCCAATTGACACCCTAATTGGGAGAAACAAGAATTTGAAGTTTCTCCTAACCCTTCGTGCACATAAATGAAAGCACTTCTGTTTTTCATTATTTATTTGATAAATATTGAAACTAAATAATGGTTTCATGCACAATAAACATCAACAATTATGTCGTTCTGTGGCGGCATTTTTCTCATAAACACACACAGAACCAAACAACTTATACCTTTAAATATTTTAATATTATGGGCACTTATGTTTTTCCCCTAGTAAGTTCATCTTCGAAGTTTGGAGTTTTAATTTACCAATTAAGGAAAGAAATGATATCACCAAGAGAAGCTTTCTCTGGCCACGAGGTGGCAGCTGCTTGCCTGAAACTTACCACATGCAAGACGATGATGTGGCAAACACTTGGACCCCCCTTTCTGAGCTGTCATTGTTAATCTTTTTCCTAAGTACTGTTTCATACTGTTTTGCACTGTTTTAGTGGTACTACAGCTATTCTCTTGTAAACGGTACAAATTTATAACCAATCACATTCACGTTAGTAGGTACCGTTTGGGAGGATTTTCATGCAGCAACTTCTAACATTGCAAGGTAGGCCTCACATGGAAAGCCATCAAACCGTGTTAAAAAAAAAAAAAAAAAAACTAAAAAAGCTAAAATTAAGTTTATATGTATTTTATGTTGGTTAGTGTTGTTTGTTTCTTTTTGTGCCGTTGGGTGTTTGTAGTAGTTGTTGGGTTGCTTCTTTGTGTTGTGTTGTCTGTTGGGATCTGTTTGAACTTTGAACATAATCTTCTCTCTAAAATTTAAAGTTTAAATCAATCAATGTAACATGAAAAAGTGATAAGTTGGGCCAGATTAGGGTTGTATAAGCAGGGGGAATAACTCAATCCCAAGTCTTTTTCCCAGTTTCCAATGTTTGATTACTTTCATTATGATTCTTTTTGGTCAATGCTTGACAACGTTCACACTTAAAAGAAGAAAACATCTGGACTTGTACTCTAGCTTAGCTACAATTACTTGATTATGAAAAGCAGGATTAAAATATTAAGAAAAATGATTAATTGCATTGTTGGGGAAAACACGATTTGGTAAAGACACGAAATTGCAAGTTGGTTCAACCGGCCGGTAGAATCAGAGTGTTGTGGTCGAACCGGGTTAACTTGATGAATTTAAATGTTTATCATAAATGTAATTAGAGATTTAAGAGTCAACCCAACAACTCCACCCTAGGCGCTCTGGGCTTCGCGGATATCTCAGCTGAAATGAAAAACCAAATGTATACGTAATGCAGTATAGGATGGGGCTAGTAAGTTTTATACAAGCTGGAACGATTATAATACACGTAAGAAGCACGAACGACGCCACCGACTCAATATAGTAAACATTAGTGAATTAGATTTTCTTTCAAGTTGGAACCAATATTTGATTTTCTTTCAAGTATGCAGTGAAGAATTATTTTTCTTTCTGTTTTTCGATTTTAGTTTTTTTCTTTTTTAAGATTTTCTAAAAGTGATTTGTTTCCAAACTGAGTCAATACCCGTGTATTAACAAAAACAAACAAACAAAATAAGATGTATAAAATGGTTCTGTTGTTAGAAATCAAACTCGACCATCCGCGATCAACAAAGCTTTCCCAATTTAAGTAGTGATAGGATTATGGGTCTGTTTGGCGTGTCTTTTTGAAAATATTTTTTAGTAGTTTTGATATGTAAAATACGCATTGAACTTTGGTATGAAAATTTGAGCAGTTGGAAGTATGTTTGGCAGATGTGTGTCTTTCTATATGAAATTAAAACGCGAAAGACGCAAGAAGTTTCATTTGGAGTTTTTTAAAATCAGCACAAAATGAGTTTCTCATGTCTTTTTGGCATTCAGTCTTTTGGCGGCTAGATCTTCCACATACCAAACAGATATAGATCGAAAATCTGTCTTCTCAACTTGTGAACAACCGAAAAACCACACGAAAATATACACCAAACAGGCCCTATATAATTGGGCTCAATTACTATATTATTTGCTAGAGTCCATCTTGTGATGTTTACTGCAGGCCACCCAGACCTTAAAACTTTTTTCTATTGGGAGTAAGAGAGCAAATACAAAACAATCACACAAGCCTAAAAAGGGGAGCCATGTCTTTTTGGCATTCAGTCTTTTGGCGGCTAGATCTTCCACATACCAAACAGATATAGATCGAAAATCTGTCTTTTCAACTTGTAAACAACCGAAAAACCACACGAAAATATACACCAAACAGGCCCTATATAATTGGGCTCGATTACTATATTATTTGCTAGAGTCCATCTTGTGATGTTTACTGCAGGCCACCCAGACCTTAAAACTTTTTTCTATTGGGAGTAAGAGAGCAAATACAAAACGATCACACAAGCCTAAAAAGGGGAGCCAGACCTTAAATCTGGATCTGGGCGGCCTGCATATCAATTAATAGTCAAGGGCAAATATTCACAAAAAGTGATATTATAGAAAGAGTAGATATTAGCCCCGTTTTAGAGCACTAAAATCTATTAATTTAAGTTTGGAAATTGTTTATAGATTCTAAGGTGTCATTTTTTTTATTTAAAAAAAAAAAATTAAAACCAATATGTAAATGAATCTTAAACTTTAAGGCTATACAGTTAGAAGTCAAAAAGTTAAAAGGATACTTTGTATATATGCAGGATATGATGACCCGGCGGAGCAGGTCAGGCAAAACCTGAACCCAACTTAATTAAAGAATTAAAACACTAACCCGACCCTAAAGCCAAATATGCTGACCCTAACCCAAACGTATAGGATTGGGTCAAGCCGGATTTACCCTTTCGCCCAATTCATTGACATCCCTAAATCATACGTGTTTTGAATAAGATCAAATTTTAGAAAAGTGCTTATTACAGTTCTGACCCGCTTTCGCCTGGAACGTAATTTTCAAAATACCTATATTACCCTCTTTAAAAGAAGCACTTTATCACCAAATACTCATAATCATTTAAACGAACAAAACCCTCGATTGTTGGTGCTTCAGATTGATATAGTTATATTTTTAAAAATGACTCCCATAGAACGTTTGAAACACACTTTATAGCTCATTTTTGTTTTTAACTATCCAAATCTCAAAATTAAAGTTTACCAAACAAAGCTCAAATCTTCTGCTAAAAGACAAAGCAATAAGCCATTATGAAGTGTTGTAAAAGAAAGGTGAGAACAAAGAATATTCACTCA